ATTTACTAGGTATCATGATTATAAGCATCTTTGATAGATTGTTCGATCCGGAATGGGAAAGATCTCCTATTTATGAAGCAACTGTTGATAGTTGTTTTTGCAGGTTTTAGGTTTGGTGGTAGCTTTAAGGCTTATATTTGGGAATTTATTAATCGCTGTGAATATAATGTGGATGTTTGTTCAGTTCCTGAACAACGAAAAATATTCAACTTTATGGATGTATGGATATCAAAAAACCTGAATGGTTTTGTGGGAATCTCAATCTAAGGTGCCATAATGGTTCTGATGAACGGCAAGTAAATTAATGAATGTTTGGAAACGAGCAATATCTTTTGGTAAAGCCTGTCATCAAGTAGGTGCTTAATGGCTATCTGCAAAAGGTTTATAGGAAAAAACACCCAGTATAACATATCAATTGAAGAAAATAATATAAACATGAATAAAAAATCAACAATAGTAATTAAAACATGAATTTAATTCAAAAATCAAACATTTCTTAAAATTTTGACTGAATTATATAACGTATATATATATGTAATTTCTTAATATTCAATAAGCTGGTGATGTTTCAATGACAAGTTGTCATCTCTTACTTTGACAGTATTTTGTTTTCAACATTTCATAGCTATTGGTTGCTAAAATTTGTTGATTGGAACTTGAAGCTCATTCGCTGTATCTGACGGTCTGTTACCCTATAGGTGGAGAATAACGGACTGTTGTTGGTGAAATTGGCCCTAAGAATGGTAGTGTCTGGCACCTTTGTCATATCGCTATAAAAGTGAACAATATCTCTTAACGTTTGTTCTGTAAATAGTGCACGGAGTGCGAGTGCGGCCTGAACAATTTTTGCTGTATTTTCGAAACCTTCGAACTTACCTCCGATTTTTGGCTCCCGCATCTGACTTAACCGAACAGATGCGCACCGCTTACATTTTAAGATTTATATTGGTTGCATATCGTACCCAGCGATAGAGAACAGAAAAAAGGCGTCAAGTAGGTTGACTCTACACAATGCCGTTGTCAGTTGACAAAGGATGACATTCAGCACAAACTAGACCCTTTGAGAAAATAGTCACTTAGACAGGTCTAATAGACATTATTTCCCTGTCCTACCAGTATTGCAGTTGGCAAAGTCGGCTGTCCCCGGTACATCATTTGGTCAGACGTGGCTGTGCATTCGGAGCATAGGAAACACTATGCTGGGTATGGCGGAAATATGTGTGATACCATTCCAGAACAACAAGGCTGGCGGCCCAGAATTTTTCTCTCTTTTAAGGGCTAATGTACAGAGAAGGATATGGTCTGTAATATGTCTAATCGGTAGGTAGAATTACCAAGGTTGGGAGCGTATGAATGTACTAACATCATCTTTATACCTCCCGCTCCCATTTTTCTTTACCTCATAATTTTTTTCAAAAATGCTCAGGTTCCTCTGAAACGTCAAAAACGAAGTTTGAGCGATTTTTACTATTTTTTGTTTTAGGCCCTTTTTGGCCGCCTCTGGACTGATTTTGACAAGCAAAGCATAAGATTAGCGGGCAAATCGACAGACCGACGGAGATGAGTGATATGTTTTTGTTTTGTGATGCACTACAGGTCATATAACATCCAAAACATAGAATATCTCAGTTTTGGTGGCTTTGGTGCAGTTTTGTTTGAAACTACATTGTTGCTGTCATTATCATTACCATCACACCACCTTTATCTAAGAGACTATTTTAAAATTACGTGAGCAGCTGAAATTTTATTTTTTCGTTGTATGTCAGGTTTTTCTAGATGTATCTCGGAACTTTAACAATCACCTCAGAAATTTACGTGCTTTCCAAAAAATATACATATCAGTTTGCAATTTTTCAGGTTTTGTATTCAAATATAATGTGTTTATTAAATGAAACACCACTGATTATGGAAAATATGTATTTTATGCCGGAGATATCTACTATATATTCGAATAACATAAGACATGATGTATCACAGTTAATCTAGAGAATCAACCAATATCTAAATACTGTTTGGCAACGTCACAGGAATCAGCCGCAAAATTTGTCGGTGTTGCCGGGCTGTTCGATGTATGGTGGTATGAACTTTGTTAAATAGGTGAATCTATATTGAATTGACGATGCTTATACACTAAACTTTATATGGGGTGTTAGGAGTGCATTATTTAATGATCATTAATTTATAGCCGGGCTTTTCTGTACCGTTTCTCTCATCTCCAGAATGAGCGTGTGACAACATAGCCGTGCTCCGTTCCTTTTCGGAACAGGTATAAAATGAAAAACTATATCAGAACCTATAATTTTTTAAGAAACCATTTTTTTTCGAAACCGTCATACAAACAAGTTGAAGAAATGCCAATTTATAGCCGGACACCTTTTTTAAAGCGTCTGCCAGAAGTTAGTACCGGCGGGAAGTGTATAGCAGTGCTGAATATTATTTTGTCATAATGTTTTAAAACAGTATATATGGGTACCTATAAAAATTTGCCATAAGCATGTAAGCTGAGTTAATCTTATTTTTATTTAGCCTTTCTCGCCAGTAAATCGGCCCTGTACTCGACATAAGTAATGCCTGGGATCTTAGTTAAGTACTCTACTGGCATTCAGTAAGTAGCTTTCATAGGCCCCCATAATTCCAATTGGGTGCTACTTTAATTTAGACACAGACCGAAAAAGTGAGCCGTCTCTTTTACCCAAAAATAAGAGTAAATTCTCCCAAGAGTTTTTTTATGCACTGAATCCAGTTTCCAACATTTGAGGTTACGTAGCATGGCGAATAATTTTTTATTTTTCCAAACAGCATAGACATTATCTCAAAGTAAAATCCTTGCCATTTCAGATGTCGTTGAGTTTGCCTAAATATCTTTTTCCGTCGGTTTAGGTAGGATAGGGTGAGTTGCGGCTTGTGGTTTGGGTAGGTAAGTTTTCGATATTTTAAACTAGGTCGGCTCAGCTTTTTTATCAGAAGAAAGTAGTTTTATGTGTTTATGACATCAGAAAGGCGATACAACATATAAGGAGAAACCTTGGAATTTTATTATCATGTTGCTTCATGGTATACCACCGAGGTCGAAGGGGATCCGTAAATACTTTTGTTATATTTAAAAAATAATTTTTTTCTTGGTTTTTTATAATTTCGCCAATTTCTCACCTTTTTTGCTTGAGTTGAAAAACAGTACAAGTCCACTACCCTTTGTAAGGCATTACTCAATAGTTGTCCTTTTTTTTAAATAATAAGTGCTTAGAAATAATAAAAGCCAGAACTTTCCTGTGCAAGTAAACATTCTACCTGAAACAGTTTTAAAGATATACGGTTTTCATAGATTTTCTCAAAAGTACAATTTGGGTCATATACTGTTTTTCATCTCACCAATTCATTTCTATCGTTCCGATAAATAATAATTATTGATTTTAAAGAATGAGTGTAGGTTAGGTGCAAATTGAATAAAAAGTTGAAAACAACATTTAGATAGAACATAAAAAACAAAAATCACTTATCACATTTTAGCTAAAATGTGTTATGTATTTTTGAAAATGTTTTTACGCTTCATCTGGTAACGCCGTATCGAGTGACAATTGATAGTGAACGACAATCGCGGATTGCTGCAGTCAACCTTATTCCTTCCCGCTCCTGCTATCTGTACCCACTACCCACGTCTTCAATTTCCTCGTACTGAGCATTCCCAAAACTATAAAAAAATACGCGCATTTTGAAAATAGTTTCAGGCTAACGTGACATTAATTTTCTCGCATGTTATGTATAATATGTATTACCGGTAGTATTACATAGCTCATAGGGTATAAAAATGACTACATTAGCGTCATTGTCACACCCCAAACGTCGTGTAAGCTGGTGAGGAATGAAGGGCCCAGTAATAGATCGAATTTCGTCGATAGGCGACCAGTACCGAGCCAGTGGTGCCTATGTTGCCCCACCTGTGTAATACTACTGGTAACACAAATATAATTCTTTGAAGAAGCTAAAACTGCTTATTCATCAGAAATAATAGTCGTCATCTTCACGACCAGCAAGTGACGTATTATTGACGTTTGCCATATGACGTCTTCGGTATGTGACATTAGGTGGGCATATTCACGTTACTTTTACGTCATTCAACTCGTGATTTTTGCCATTTAATGAGCAGTGCTTGTGCTATCTGAGTCTTTGATGAATTATAATCTAAATCACAACTTTGATGCACACATAATCATAACATGTAGAGCAGGAGTTCCCAACCAGTGGGGCGCGCCTTCCAAGCGGGTCATAGGGAGATGTCAAGGGGGCGGAAGGCGTTTGCATTTTTGAAATAAAAAACAAAAAAATAAACAAACAACATTAACAAATAACGATACAATGTAATGTTTACACGCATAAAATTAGAAATTAGATATCATAATACTTATTCTGTCAACCGCTGTTTCAAAACGCGGCGTCGTCAATCCCAGCTTATACAAGTTCGACAAGTTACAACATGAAATCCGCGCGCACCCCTGCCGCACTCCTCTTAACATTCATTACTTAGAAAACAATTTTGTGTCTCACTGTTAAAAGGTAAGTTTGTGTATTTACAAACATCAGTTACCATTTTTATTTAATTTACTAAATTCTGGATTGAGTGGAGATGCGTTCATAGATCGGCCATTGGGAACTTTAAGTACCTAATATTGATTCCAAAAGTATTTAAAATTACTATTATAACGTCAACCTGCCTACAAAAATATAAATCTCCTGGCCAATATACTGTTGAATACATTACGTTATTAAGATAAAATAATATTTATTGCTTATTTGTGCAAAAGGGCAGCGAAAAGAAGAAAGTTTTCCGAAGATTACGTGAAGTTTGGATTTACCTTCACAGAAAAAGACGGGTTACAATTGCCTCAGTGTGTGATATGTATGAAAGTTTTAAGTAATGATAGCATGAGGCATTTGAAGTAAGAACGTCCTAATCTGGTTTCGAAGACGAAAGATTTTTTTCTTCTAAAGAAGAATTACTCAAGCGGATCAAACTGGATAAAACGGGAAATCATCACACAGGTGTATCGCAGCATCTCAAAGCTTCATTTAAAATAGCTTTTATGATAGCAAAGCAAAAGAAATCTCACACTTTCGGTGAAGAATTAATAACACCATGTGTCTTAAAAGCCACGCAGATGATCTTAGGAGAAGATGCAGAGCAAAAAATGAAGTCTATTTCTCTTTTGAATAACACAGTCAAGCGTAGAATCGATGACATTGCAGCAGACATAAAGTCACAAATAATTAACAAAGTAAAATTATCGCCATTTTTTGTCATTAGTTGCGATGAGTCCACCGACATCGCTAATTGTGCACAGTTAATTGTTTATATTCGTTACATCGGCTGAGAGAAGAAGAGATTTTGTACTCCCAAACTTTGACAGCAGACTACATCTGAAGATTTATTTAATTCAATATCAAATTTTGTTGAAAAAGAAAATGATTTGGCTCAAGGAAAAAAAATCCCGCAATGGTTAGTACACATTGTGTTATTCATCGACAAGCCTTGGCTTCCACATTGCCACCGAAATTACGCCAGACTTTGGACTTGGCTATAAGGATTGTAAACTACATCAAGAGCAGCGCTTTGAACAGTCGGTTATTTACTTTATTTTGCGAGGACCTCGATTCTGATCACAAAGTTCTTCTGTTCCATACAGAAGTAAGTACGCTGGCTGTCCAAAGGCAACATATTGGCTCGCCTTTATGAACTGAAAGAAAGGTACATTCCTTTTCTTGAGTTCAAAGAAAAACACGATTTCTTGACAATGTTCAAAGATGACACATTTCAATGGAGGTTGGCTTATTTAACTGACATATTTGACTCCTTGAATGAGCTAAACTTGAAACTTCAGGGCAGAAACAACGCTATATAGTAATAAGCAATTATGATTGTATTCAGGCGTTCATATAAAAGTTTCAACTTTGGAATCAAAAAGTGTCTTCCGAAAATGTTATATCTTTTTCTCGGTTGTTCGAAGCAATTAAAAATAACATACCGGATCCAAATTTAGAATCTGACATAAAAACTCATTTGCACGCGCTGGAAGACGAATTTCGCCGATACTATAAGTTCAGGAAGAATTTCTAGAAATGAAGGCTGATTCATCCATGAAAGATTGGAGACATTTTGGATCAAAAGATTGCCTGTTAATTCGACACTTGCCTCTCTTGCTTTACGAATACTAGTTCATCTTTCTTCAACTTACTTATGTGAGACAGGCTTTTCTGCATAAGCTTGAATTAAAACTAAACAGCGAACTCGTCTTGATGTCTATAGCTTCCTGATGGTAGCTCTGGCAAAAACAGAACCTGGAATCAACCAATTGGTACAGAACATGTAATCTCAAGTGTCTCATTAGTACCTACTCTTATTTTATTCAAGTTTTTTGATAAAAAAACATTTATTAGTTCAATTAAACTTTTAAAGTTCCTTTATTAGAATTAAAATAAAACTCGTTGTACCTATATAATGTGCGTTTGTATTGTATTTATTGAAAAAGTAAGGGGGGCATGAAAATATAATTTATAGTCCGGGAAGCGTCAACAAAAAAAGGTTGGGAAACCCTGATGTAGAGTATTAAATGAATTGAAGCTTAGATAATTGAAAATTTCAATGTGCTATATCCCAGAAAAAAAGGGATACTTAAGCAAACTCAATAGCATCCGGAAGAACAAGACTTATAGGTACTGTGAAATTGTCGTATGTTTTTTTTTAGAAAAAAAATCGCTATGCGAAATATCCTCAAATAAGGGCAACCATTTAGTATAGGACATCTCGGAAACTAGAGCTAATTTGAAGATTTGGACGACGAATTCGGTTTCAGTGCATCAAAATCCTTTGTTTCTGGACAAACATTCTATCGCTCTGTGTAATTTTGAGTTGTGAAAATGGTATAACGAATCCTCTACACTTGACCAACTCCAATCTCTTCAATTATCTAAATACATGTTTTAATTACACATTTCCTATGTATGACTGCATGTATGCAATTTTACTGTAATGTGAAGTTATTCCGAGCAAAATATGATGCACAAATGGCTGCTTGAAACTGCAACACTGCCCTAACAGCGTCGGGTATGATGTAATGTATGCACAAACGCTTATTACATTTGTTTGTTGTTCAGCTTTGATAAGCCGTTAAACTGAGTTATAAGGTCGTATATATTACTTGCATGCATTTATGTATGTAGATTTATAAAGTCGATATGTGTCGGGATTTAAACCATAGTTTTGCTGAATTGGGGCTGGCAGTATATGTGTTATGGGATGCGAATGGGCATGATACATAGCGAAACCTGGGCCGAATATACTGTTATGCACATTTTGATTTTGGGGTGAAGTATCATTTGCCGTCTAATCTACCAGGGTAGGCTTTTCCTAGTTCTCCTAATCTCAGACAATTCACAAACCGACAAGTTTTCTCTTATTAAAAACAAGACGACACGTTTCATAGAAAGTGCCGTCAAATTTTATTTTTAAGTAGACATTCTTTATTATGGAATATCATATTACTTTGCAAACATACTTACACGAAATGCCATTTTCATCCTAAGAAAGCGAAAATGATGTCGAACGCTAACAAGTAAACATAAAGTTTGCTTTCAAGCATCATTCTATATAAATCTATTAACAAATAGATTCAAAAGCAATCAGAATTACAACTCAGGTTATAATTGCTAATAACTGCTGGGAGAACTAATTTAAAACATGATTATTATTTGAAATAAACTTAATATTATAACGCTTTATTCACATTTGTGCATGAACAATTAGTTGATGAGGTGAATATTAATGATTAAATATAATGTATAGTCAAAATTTTCGATTGTAGTTTCCCTTTTATTGTGTTCAGAATGTCTATGAAGAAGTAAACAGATAAAAGATTTTTATAGATAAAACCACGTATCACTGTCAGCTAGATTTGGGAAAGGAAGCTGCAAATATTGCAGAAGCATTAGTATAGTATTTCTACCAACCTATAAGGTTTCAATCATTGTTCAAATAAAGGATGATCTCGGGAAGCTAATGGAAGCTATATCCCCTGCAGCCGAAAAAAAAAACTTGTATGGAAAGTCTAACGTATGTCCTATCCTAGAAGTTTTGGCGCAAGATTCATTGACTTTAATTCTAACAAACACAAAATAATATCAAGTTGTCTTTGGAAACAGCAGTTTGTTTAGTTACTGTACTGTTAGTTGACATATTTTGATGTTTTCTCTTTGAATAATAAAAAGTATCTACAAGTTGGTTAGGCGGGTACCCAAAGCTGAAATCTGTTGAATATTTCAGAATGAAAACATTTCACGCAGAACCATTTATCGAACAATAGCGGAGTGCAAATAGGGGATACCATGTCGGACTCTCTCAAAAAGTGATCAGAGAGATTGGCGAGAAGAGCAACAAAGCAGGTTGAAATGTTAACAAGGAGTCTGGCTATCAATACAGATCTTCTAAGAGTACGATATCGTTGTAATTGAGGACGAGTGGTCTTAAATATCGAAAGAGACTTAAGTGCCCCAAATACTCTCAAGCGCAACTCCTTCGTTTACCAAGGTGCTGTCATCAACTGAGGTGGGTACGAGTACCCTTTGCCAAAGGAAAAATCATTATTTTAGATGGCGAAAAGTATTTCACTTTGGGTAATTCTGAAATGAAGGGAAACGACGGATTTTATATGGACAACGTATGTAAATGCCCTGACAATATTAGATACAAACATAAAGCGAAATTTGCAGATAAAATCCTTGTATGGTGCACAATTTCTAACGGGTGTATCCCAACCTTTTGTGGGAAGAGTGAGCGATGAAGCTTTAAATAGTCAGAGCTATATTGATAACTGCCTTTTCAAATTGCTTCAGTTTGTCCGCGAAGATCGTGCTAATGACCATACCATGTAGCTATTCGAAGAAAGTTGCTTCAGGTAGAGAAGAAGGGGCTACTCCACATAATGCGATATGTTAGTTAAGTATTGAGTTATAAGTTATGATAACTAGTTAGTGTTTAAATAAACTTCTTCATTAAAGAAAAAAAAAATCCGATAAATATCTTGTTCCAAAACTTTTAGGACATACGTGACTTGATAAGTTGAATGAATTTTGATGTAGAACGTATTTCCTCACCACGAAACATTTGAACCTAATTGCTACAGATATCCTCGATTTTTCAACCCTTCAGTTTGATCATTCTACAAGTGTATCTGGTCCGGCAATATTCTCTGCTTTGCCTCACGCCGGTAAAGGACTAATCAGTAATTAAGTAATAAAAGTAGTTATGTAAGAGACCACAATAACTGTGTCACTAACAAATAAACCAGCTTTGAAGAACTTTTTGGGATTGAGGTACTTGAGTTCTGAAATATTGCAATTTAGGAAAACCTCCACAGTTTATAATACTTATTGAAAAATGCCGAAGAATGCAAAATATGATTAACATAATTAGTTAATCATATTTTTCATTGCCCATTATTGAGAACTACACTCTAATATTGACTTATCAACACGCCTCATAGTCTAGTATTGCATGACTTAATACGCTTAAGGTACGTAGGGGAAACCAGTGCAAAGCTAACAGCTGAGAAAATCAAATTTCCCATTCAACCATCATGAAAAAGTAGGTACATACATCGATTTATTCGTTCAACTTTCATCGATAACCAAAATGTCTTTTCAACAAAAACATTATATTATAGTATAGGTACTGTGTGTGTAATTCAATTTTTATACTACAATATATTCATATTTATAATATTTAGCGTATATTTAAAGGATATTTCCAGTCATACAAATGAGGAGGAATCAACACATTTGGCAGGAAACAAAGAAAACTCGTAAGCAAGTCACTTGGGACAAAGCCGCCCGTAAGCTTATTTTTGTAGTCAGTAAATTTGGAATTGGTATCTTGGTGCATATAGCACATAAATATGAAAATAAACCAAATCTAGAATCCTGGTACTAGTTTTGAAATGACCCATTCTAGTACCCGACGTCGAGAAGTGCATGAAGGAATCATCTCTCAGACTTTTTACACTGAATGTGTATCAAGTGGTATTATTTGATGGAAAGCAATGTAACGACCTACGAGGTGTATACTGAGTGACAAAAAAGCTAAACACCTATACTCTAGGCGCTGAAGAAAGAAACTAAACCCAAACAAATACACGCATATTGCTCGTGAGTGAGTGTTTAGGCACAGGAGACATTACAGGACCGCATCAAGATATTATGGGTAGTCATCAAATATTTCATACAAGATAATTATTATCTTTTACAGTAAATTTCAGTTAGAGATTCACAAATGAGTTAACTACACTTTTTAGTTATTAGTAAGTAAGCTGCGCGCACTCATTCAGAAGAGGAACTTGAATCTTCTGAATCGTTTAAATGAATTATTAGAGGTTCAATTTGGGTATCGATGACATTGTCCAAATCCCAAATTTTGACCTCAACCTTCTCCCGAACGTGGCGGATACAGTTTTTCCATTCCTCTGCCGTAACTCTATTGACTGCGATGTGAAAGAGATTTTTAACATCAGAAAATTTATAAGTATTATTATTCGACGCCACGTATTGCTTTATGTTGGCTCAAATCAGCTCAATAGGGTTCAGCTCACAATGGTAGGGTGGCAGTCTCAAGACAGTTTTATTTTGTTTTTTGGCCATTTCGTCGATCATTTTAAAATCGTATTTGTATTTATGTCTATTGACTATACTTATCAATTCACCCTTGACCATTGTTTCATCAAAATCGATCTGTTTTGAGGCCAGCCATTGTTGTATGTTTGCTTTTTTAGTTGCCATTGTGGGAATTTTTTCTATTTTTCTAGAATGGTACGGGGCATTATCCAGTACAATAACAGCGTTATTCTCCAGCTTT